CGCAGCCTAGGACATCTCAGACTTCCCAAGCTATTTGGAACACAACTTACTCTTACCAAAGAGGTCAAATACCTAGGAGTAATACTGGACAGTAAACTCCTGTGGAATAAGCACCTCGATGAAAAACTGAATAAAGCCTGCATTATTTTCTGCCAATGCAAGCGGCTACTCGGCAAAAGCTGGGGACTATCACCCAAAATTACTTTATGGCCATACATGACAGTCATAAGACCATTAATCACTTACGGTGCTGTTGTCTGGTGGCAGAGAACAGAGCTAAGCACTGTCATAAACAAACTGCAGCAATTCCAGCGACTCCCATGCTCCGCGGTCACTGGCTGTATGCGCACAACGCCTACTGCCGCACTGGAGGTGGCTCTTGGTCTGCCACCCCTGGATTTATTCATACAGCAGGAGGCCGCCATGGCGATCATTAGACTCAAACACCTGGGTCTATGGCACAAAAGTGAGGGATCGCACTCCAAAATATGGGATCAATTGGTGGAATACGAACCACTGATAGCAGCTCCATGCGATAGAATCCCAAAACACCATATCTTCACAAGAAGATACTACATCCAGATACATGGAAATGACCGAGATCAATCCGGCATTAACGAAGTCCGAATTTACACGGACGGTTCCAAGACTAGGTCAGGAACTGGAGCCGGAGTTTTCTCGCAAGACCTAAATATAAACATATCACTAGCGTTAGGCCAACACAGTTCCATATTTCAATGTGAATGTGTGGCAATAACTTACGCTGCCACAACGGCCATGTCAAGGGGTATCAAGGACTACAACATCCGAATAATATCCGACAGCATGGCCGTCTTAAAGGCATTGGAGGGCAACACAATGACCTCTGGTATTGTCTTCGAATGCCAAGCACTGGAACAGCTCGCTATATTCAATGGGGTACTCCTCCAATGGATTAAAAGGCACAGTAACTCACACGGGAACGATGCCGCAGATGAGTTGGCAAGGAGGGGCTCGGCAACCCCAACCTCTGGCTCAACCCCACTCCTGCCCATATCGTTTAACCAAATACGATGCTGGGTCAGGCAACGGACCTGTACGGTACCACCATTCACACCGACCTATTAGTCTCACACGGCCACACACGGTACGTTACGGACCAGGTACGGACTGTACGCGGGGGTTGTCCGGTCCATGGCGCTTTATGGTGCACCGGTGTGGGTGGCGGCTCTGACCGCCCCGAATAGGGCGCGCCTCTGGCGCCCCCAGAGGATATTGGCGGTCAGAGCCATACGCGGATACCGCACGGTGTCCACCGAGGCGGCTTGCGCCTTGGCCGGAACACCCCCGTGGGATTTGGAGGCGGAAGTGCTCGCCGAAGTTTATCGGCGAGTGGCTGAATTCCGGGCGGAGAGCGGATTTCGCCCTCCGCCCGAAGACGTGCGCGAGTGGCGCGAAGCCGCTCGCCGAGCCACCATGGTCAGATGGTCGTTCCGGCTGGAGACTCCACGCGCTGGCTTCGCCGCCGTGGAGGCTCTCCAGCCGGTCATCGCCGAGTGGGCAGGGCGGCAGCACGGGACCCTTTCCTTCCGGCTGACGCAGGTGCTTTCCGGGCACGGTTGCTTCGGAAAGTACCTGTACTCGGTCGCTAGGAGGAAATCGAGTCCCGCCTGCCACCACTGCGACTGCAGTGAGGATTCGGCCCAGCACACGCTGGCGGTTTGCCCCGCATGGGCGACGCAGCGCCGGGCCCTCACTGCAGTCATCGGAGCAGATCTCTCGCTACCGGCCGTAATGCGCTCCATGGCCGGTAGCGACAGTTGTTTTACCGCGGTCGCAACCTTCTGCGAGGAGGTAATCTCGCAGAAGGAGGCGGCGGAGAAGGCCCGGGAGGACGACCTCCACTCGGACCTGATCCGCCGCCGGCGAACCGGGCGGCGGAGGCGCGCTTACCTGCGCCTCATGCCGCCCTGAGTGTGGCCGCGGGTGGACGGGATGGGTTCTCCCCTCCACCCGCATTAGTTTGGCCAGCCGCGAGGGGGCGGCGTCCGCGTGTGCCGGACGTCGCCTAAAGAGAGGGTCCACTGAGACGGAGCCCGCATCAGGAGCGGGCCGGCGCTGGGAGGGGTCCAGAAGGAGATAGCTACCTGGACCCCTCCTAAACTGGAAGCGCAAAGAGGGCACACCGTGTGGTTTTAGTCGGTTCGAGCCCGACACACCGCCCCGCCGAACGAGAGCCCCGGCGGGGTGACGGTCCGAGGGGATTTCCACACGTAAAAAAAAAAAAAAAAAAAGGCAACGGACCTGTGAAGCACACAACCGGAGGTGGAAAAACTCACCCGGCTGCAGACAGTCCAAACTGGTGCTGAATCAAGTCACACCACGACTCACCTGCAGACTGATCAGTCTTAGCAGACCGGAAATCAGAATGGTTGTCGGAACTATTACAGGAAATCTAGCCCTGAACCGACAACTATTCATAATCAATGCGAAGGACAGTCCCCTGTGCAGGGAATGTCTGGAAGCTGAAGAAACGGCCGTCCACGTAGTCCTGGAATGCGAGGGAGTGGCCACACAACGGGCAAGTATCATTCATGATATAAAGTCGCTCCTAGAAGCCTGTGAACGCCCCAGGAGGCTTCTGCGCTTCTGGAAGGAGCTTGGCTGGCTCACCTAGTCAACCAATCCTCGACGCATAAAGGACCACTCTGAGTCTAAATGCGGAAACCGAAGCCCACAACCATCGACTTCGAAGCTTGACCTTTGTTTGATTGATGTGGTGTTTTTGTCACCGGCTTCTGAAGCTTGACCTTTGTTTGATTGATTTGGTATTTTTGTCACCGGCTTCTGAAGCTAAAGTTATTTTTCACTTTTAGTGTTTTTCTTTTTGTGTTCGATTTGTGTTTATTTTGATGTCGGTTTTTTTTTTGCAAAAAAGTTTTTTTTATTTTTCCATTTTTATTTGTAATATCCTATAAAAATATTTGACAAGCATATAAACATCCAAGCGATTGCAGCCATCACGACCGATTTAACGTCTATTTTTGAAGAGTTCCATTGTATATCTCCGAAGACCAGCATCAGATCTTCACCAAATTTAAATGGGACCACCTCAGGAGTATAATTTTTCAAATAAAAAAAGAACAATAAAAATAAATGGAGTAATCGCGTAACAAACACACACAAAAGAAACATAATAGTCGAATTGATAACCTCCTTCTTTTGGAAGTCGGTTAAAAATAGGTTTTAAATACCTAATGGACATACTTAAATAGCTTCGAAATCGACATAAACATATTTCATCGAACAAAGACAGACACCAACTAAAAGCTTGTGTTTATTTTGCATATACTATACCAAACTATACTGCCCGCGTTACTTATGAGTGATCATAGACTTATGGAGAATGTAATTATTATTATTTTAATATTTTTATAGAATACTCGCAAGATCATTATGTAGTCCATACGTCTATCTAGACTTTTGGAAGATATCATAATTACACTAGGGGAAAATTATCAGAATTTTTTATTGTGAAGAATAATATAACAAAAAGCAAAAGTAAATAGCTACCTATTATTTATCTAATTTATTACCTCCTATCCTAATAATCTAATAATTGAATTGATAATAACTCGGCGCGCCTAAACACTTGAGCGCAGTCCTCTCGTCTCAACGGAGCGGTAGCGACTGTTGTCTGAAATAGAAATATGCTTGAAGCTCCCGCAACGTGCGACGGACGATGAATTCTTGCGCGGAATAAAAACGTAGTATGCGCCAAAACTGTTATATCCAAATATATCCGAAACTAAAAGGAATTACATAAAATGCCTAAACAAAGCCTTTACTCTTGTAAAAGTATAATTAATTATCAAATTTTTGTCGCAATAGGCATTACCATATCGAGTACAAAACGGAAAAATATTAGAATTAGAGGTTACTTCGTGATTTTTTTTCTATAGAGGAAATGTTATTATTTCATGTTTTTGATCAATGTGAACCCTCGGAAATATCATGTAGTTATCCACACATTTTTATTTTAAGATTTGGTCCGGAATTTTTCATGTAAAATCAAAAATAAGATTGGTAATTTTGCTTTATACGCCCTCTTAATGTGAATATAAACCACGACACTCAATTGTACGGCGACAAATGACAGAGTAGAATCGTACAGGAAGAATCGTACTTACTGCGCCAACCCCAAATAAAATTGTGTTTTTTTTTTAATTTAATAGGGGGCAAACGAGCTGACGGATCATCGGGCTACCACCGCCCATGAACGCCTGCAACTCAGGAGTCCCAGGCGTGTCGCCAGCATTTGAGGAAGGAGTACGCTCTTTTCTTGAAGGTTTGAAGTAAACGTAACGGTCCGGAAATACCGCAGACGATAACTTGTTCCACAGATAGGTAGTGCGACAGATAACGGTAGGTATGATGATGTTATACAACATTATAAGATTCAAATACTAGTAGAACTTTGAATGCAATATCAATCAATGAAACTGAACACTGCGAAGCTAAGTTAGCTAAGTTATTGGAGTTGTGATTATGTAGTTGAGGGTTGAATATACCCACCTGAACTCACGGCTTGTACTTAAGCTTATTTTGATGGGTTAAAATCTGAATTCATCCAACCATCTAATCTGAAATACCAACAGAAAATTGTATTAGTGCAAAAAGATCCTAAATGTAGGTAAAACTGTGAATGTAAAACTGTGTTCTCCAAAAATTAAAACAAAACAGTTAACATTAGTAGAAACAATAACTGAAGAAAAATTTAATATCACATTCAAAGCGAACAATAACAATTTGATTAAATTGATTATTTCTTTGAACAGTATTCGTGGCCAGCCTTAAGTAACGGGTTGTCATTAATTCAAAGAAAATACAATATCCTTATGTCGAAGATAGTTCATATCTTTATTTTGATACTCAGTATATTGCATTGGGTGGTCACAACGTCCGCATCTTTCTGGTTTCCCATAAAGCAATTTAAAATAAATGATAACGACTCATCAAAAATGATTGAACGGCACTCTTTAGACCAAGGAAATTTAATGTTACGTCGCGCACTCAAACTGACTACAGCTCAAAATCCACTCTCTCTACAAAACTCAGATTCTTATGTATCGGAAGGCACAAAGAGACGACCAACACGGACTTCATATCAAACTGATAGCGGCCTGGAGAATGTTAGTGAAGATCATAACATCGTCCATGTAACGTCCGAACATCGGGTCCTTAAGAGAAAAGGTGACTCAGAACTGCATCGAAGGAAACGGCGAAGAGTCACTACGGCATCGTTCGCCAAAGGACAAACGCCGATAGCAATCAGCAAACGCAACATAAAATCTGGACCCTTACGTGAGGAAATTAGTAATTGTGACTATGAAAAAGTTAAATGTGTATTAGTTGACCTCACCCCAATAAAAAATAAAAAACATTAAATATATTTTTTCATTCAACGACTGTCCGTTTGCCTGACTGTCTGCAGGTTTGTTGTTTGTCTATCTGTCAGTAATACGTGGAGTCAAGTTGCAATTAACAACTAATATTTATATCCCCGGACCCTTAAAGCTAAATAGGCCAAAACCGAGAGGCTTATGTCTGTGCCATGCCATTTAAAACTTATATTTTGACAAATATTTACACTTCGTATATAAATTAAAACCTATAGGATACTTCCCATAGAACTAGTTTCAATTTTTTTTTGTTCAAATATGTAGAGTTTATAGCTACGGAACAGTTTTATTTGTTACTGTATACAGTACAAAATGTTATACCATAACTATACTCCTAAGAGCTACTCTAAAACAACAACTCTAGCCATGCTACTGTTAAATATGGAATACAACTATTAGCTAAGAAAAGTTCAAATAAAAAAGAGAAAAAAACGTAGTAACTGCAACCATCATAAACTTAATAAATGACAACAAAAAGAAAGCTACAACTAACTGTTCTAAAATTCATTTCGAACAAATTCGGTAGCACCACGCTCGCGCCTGAGACGTCGGCTTATTTGTGAATAAATCTCATCTCTCCTGCGAGTTCGCAAACAAAGAAGAACTTATACAGATTTGACCTCAGTGGAATAAATAAAAAAGCACGCCGGTAAGGCACATTTTAATCACTTGCTTCGCGCGTCTATTGAAGGCTCAATTTTGGCGTATTCGAACGAGACTGTTCGTGCGGTGGGGCTTTGGTGACACGCGACGCGTGTTTTTACAAGTCATTTAAATAACTACTGCACTGATGGCGTAGTGGTTGTGGGTTCAAACCCCACTTGGGACGACACTTTGTATGATCCACAAATTGTTGTTCTGAGTCTGGGTGTCCTTTGTGTCCGTTTCATGTATGTTTGTAAAGTCCCCCGCGACACAGGGTATATTCCTAATGCGGGAGGTATCTTAAAAAAAAAACTAATAAGAAACTGTTTTTTTTTATGCGTGACAATGTTTTATATACAAGGTTTATACCAATGTGCTCATTTCTTACATCGTTGAAGGTGAAATTTAATGGTTAATCAAGCAGGTTATAAGTTAATGTAAAATTTCAAAGTATTCTTAAAATTTAAAGGTTTCGAAGATTCTTCAAAATTGTCGTAGAGGTTTTGCTTTAACTTCATACAATAGCAAGTCACTACGCGGCCCGCTTCCCCTAAGCAATGAGCCCAAGGCTTTCATCTTACGCCGGCAGCTGCACAGTCCGTAGATTACTTTGCAATTGAAAACAAATAATAATAAATACGAACGTTCCGAGCACGCCCCGGGAAATTGGAAAAAGGGAGAAAAACGCCAAGTATTTGGTGCTGGCCTTACTCCGCTGAGATATTGGAGCAGCCGCAGCCAGATGCTCAAATATGAGTTTTATGTCTTCAAAATATACAGATGTTACGCTTTTTATTGATATCCTTTTGTTTAGTCTGTGATGGATTCGATTTAGATACCAAAGATACGATTGTGCCATTTGAATTTTCTAGTTCAGTGCCGTTTATCGCATGTGTTTCTTTGTGTTTCAGCTGGGTCGTTTCTCGAATATACCGTAATGGATTTCTGATTTCAAATGACACAGGGACTGTAATGTACATATATACGTAGTTTTGGATATCTTACTTTCAGGTCTATCTGTATGTTATTATGTCCCATGGCTGAACGATTTAGATTTCTTGAACACATCTTACTTAGTCAATAATTTATTTTTGATAATGCACTGATTATATGTGATGTGTAATTTAAGTAAAAAAGGGATTATCACAATAGTACTATGTTTTGTGATATTACCTGTGATGATGCCAAAAACTAATTACCATGATGTCACTTTCTGTAGTTGTCTCCTGTTTCTCTGATTACTTTATTACTATGATAAATTTCCATTCATCATCATCACATCAACAGCCTATACTAGTCCACTGCTGGACGTAGGCCTCTCCTTAGAAAGGAGGTTTTGGCCTACTACACCACGCTGGCCAGACGGGTTGGTATAGGGTTTGTTTCAAGTTTTCCTTCTCTTTGCAGTGCTGTTGTCCTGCTTATTTTACTCCCTTAGTCGGCTCTTACGACACCCACGGGATGAATTGGGGTGGAGACAATTTGTATTCTTAATCCGTCACCACACGGACATTAGCCTGATATAAATATCGCAAATATGACCATGTGTCGTAATATCGCAAAAAAACTCAAGTGGTTACCCATTCGCCTTCGCCGGAATGCACATATTCCCTCACTTCTCTATAGTATACTATTTAATCCTTTTACTTCACGTAACCTCAAGTCACGGTTTACCTTCTGAATGACACACACCCTTAAAACCACAGTTGAGATCGTCAGAGAACCTAAAACTAAAAATGCAGGGACATTTCACTAAATTCCTCGACGCCTTCTCTGTTCAAGCGGTTCAGTTGTGGAACATCCTACCTGTCGCAATCAGACGTGCTCAAACACTTGCCTCCTTCATGAAACAAGTGAAAGAATTCTACCTGGGAGACGTCAATGTCAATTAACTTCTACAAAGTCGACAAGGACACATTATTTCTTATAATATTTGTATTTAGAACTTATAAATCACACGTATTTATTTAATTATATGTATCTAATAACACGACCAGCAGTATTCAGCACATAGTAATATATATTCCCTCCAGTATGTTATATATTCACCTTAGTCCAACAAATAGATACTATGTGTAATTATCACTTTTTATAGCTATGTATATACTACTTTGATTTCATCATCTTTTCTATTTCCTAAAACACCAGCCACTACCCAATACCTCCTCCCTTCATGTTTTCTCTCTATACCACGGTTGCCTGTAAGAGATTGCCTCTGAGCGAAAATACTACTAGTACTAATATAGTTTAAGATAATTATTGTATATCTATATCTGGTGTACAATAAAGCGATATATTAATTCATGTATAAATACGATTAGGTGTTAGGATATTTCAAATCTAATCAAAGATATGGCGTTTGATCAAAGTCCGACCTGTATAAGTTTGTATTTTACCTGAAATATTTCTGTAGACAAATTATCATGCAACATGTATCCTACGCAGGCATATAAATCAACAAGAATCTCAGACAAAGGGTTAGTGCCTAATATAAAGGGCAACCTGTGTTCAACTCATGTTAATCAACTTTGGCTACTAATATCTTCTTGCTTACTTTGATAGAACACGTAAAGCCAAAAGTCCATGTACTTTTGTTTAAAACATTATTCAAAATAATGGTAATAAATTTCGAATTTTTAGGGTACAAACTAAGCAGAACCTCTACTATAGGTTGTAGATTAATTTCTATATAAGTATGTTTACAAGAATCCGCGCGAGGACTACGTAATACCAGATTAGTATTTACTCGGTAATTTGGTAAATTCTTTGTTAACAGACTTGTTACTTGTATAGATATTACAAGAATGTCTTTCCATCACCCACGCGATGAATAGGGGTGGTGACACTCTATATTCTTAATCCATCACCACACGGAACTTTGATAATGATAAATGATTTTATACCATTGATATTTAATGGCCATAAAAAATGTTTACCATAAAAAATGTTTTTAAATGGAGTTGTATGAATAATTGATTATCGCGTCATGTAAACTTAAGGAATTGAATACTAACAAAATCTATAAGTATAAAATAGCAATATTCGTTAGCTGTGTTGCTGTAAATATCGATTTCATTATTTAATAAACAAGGTAAAAATTATGTCACCTGTCACAATGGCCGCTGCAAACAAGTAGTTTCAAATGAATGAAAAACCCAAGAAGTTAAAAAAAAAACACTCATATAAATCCTTCCTAATAAAATAACGAAAACTAAAAAAAAAGTCTAAGCAGATTGTAAATTTTGAATTAAAGGAAAATGCTCATTTCAGTATGAAAATCAGTTTCACGATTGTTTTTACTATGTCAAATATGTTTAAACTGCATTATTAAGCCTGTATTGAGTATTATCTGAAATATTAACGTATATTGTAACAGAACTTGTGGTTGTTGAGAAATTAAATGTGAAAATATTAACGAGAAAATATGTGACACGGCCTTTGAATTAACTAATAATTAACGATATATAAATTAAGGCAAAACTAACCCTGAGAAACCCTATTTAGTGAATGTAGTAAACATTCACTAAATAAACTACGACTACATAAATACGAAATAATGGGATTACTAAACTGCAACATATTTAAGTGTGACATTACGAATTATTATCGTGTATATTGTATTATCACGAATACAACCATTATAAAATAAAGAAATCACTTTATAAAATAAACATTTAATGAATGGTTTATTTTATAAAGTGAACGGACGGAGGAAACGGACATTAATTCAAGTTTTAGTCCTTGTACGATTTAATTTCAAACCCCAAGTTCTATAGACGAGATTCAGGGTCGAATAGCCATATTAAAATCAACAATTTTTTCAACATTTGAAATAATAACGCGAAGGTCTAAAAGTGAAACTATGAATCTTTTAAAAATCCTTCAATGTTTTAATAAAATATTGGAGTGGAGTTGTTTTTTTGCAGAGACGAAAACTACAAAGCTACTAGGAGTAAGTTTTTACGATAGGATTTTTTGCACTTAATCCCGATTTTTTGATAAGTTACGGAATTATAAAAATCCATAGATGTGGTATGTTATTTTATATCTTCATCACTACTAACTTATTTTACATCACTGCTAATATTTATTTTAAATAGAATAAATAATAATAATAATAATAATAATTTTATTTCAGACATATACAGTCCATAGGTTGTTTAGTAATGGGTTAGAAACAGAAAGTACTTAACGTCTATATTAGTATTGTTAGTAACGGCACTTAATAGTAGAAAGGCATTCAACTATGCTTTCCTATTGCTATTGCCACCCAATGCCTTTGTATAGGACAGTCTGGCCTACTAGCAATCATCTTCAGGACGCTGTTCCGGGTATTTCGC